AGAGGTCACCAGTCGGAAAGACAGTTCTCGCTAGGACCGACCGCATATTCACAGTCATGACATCACAGAATTTTGTTGCCACCTTCCTGCGCAACTATCTAGGGCCGATTATTCAACCTCTCATATTCAAAGACTCTGATCGATGGAAGATGGCTTACAGATTCTCATCGCAACTCCAAATCCGCTATAGAAAGAGCGACATCGTAGCTACTGGCAGCAGCTTCACCGGTCCAGTGCGCGGAGGGGACAGAGCGCCGAACGGTACCTTGATAGGCCCGGACGGGCAGGGGAAGCTGCATGATATCTTCCGTTCTTTGGACTATCAGCTCCTCTTATTTACTGGATTGGGTGAGAATTCCGCATCCGAGAAAGATCTGAATGCTTCCGCTGCTGATTGCGGACCTATTGATTTCCACATCATCTCCAGTCAAGAAGATCTGGGATATTTTGACGAAGACGGGAGCTTGCATAAGTTGTATGGGTTTGACAGCCCCGGATACGTCTACGTTCGTCCAGACGCCTATGTGGAACACATTGGGCTACTTGATAGAATTGGCGAGCTTGAAACATGGATGAAGGATAAGCAGGCCGATGTTTAGGCTTGCCAGCCTGAGATGCATACTGTCGCAGTTTCCGGATCAATACATGTAATAATTATTGAGAGTATAACAGTGGCCAACTTCCTCGGAAAACTGGACAGAATTGAGAGGCTTGTGCTCAAGAACAGGCGGGACTGTTAATATGCTCCGCGGGAAAGATGTCGCCCTCGGGCAAGCTGAGATGCCCCTCAGCCCCGCTACCCGCGGTAAACTCAACATGTTGTTATCATCCCAGATAAATACTCACGGTCCTGCAAGATCTAGACGCAAATAAGGTGAACCATCGTCGGCGATCTCTTTCTATTCTAACGAGCATTGTTATCTTTCAATCAATCATTTATCATGGCTACTGAGAGCACGACCGCCTTCTGGGCGAAGACCAACAAGTACCTGATGTCAACGGGCGTCCCTTACTCTCCCGTTATCATCACAAAAGCTAAGGGCACGAAGCTTTACGATGCTGAAGGTCGCCAAATCTTGGACTTCACGTCTGGTCAAATGAGCTCTCTGCTGGGCCACTCACATCCGGAAATCGTGGAGGTCGTTCAGAAATATGTCGCTGAGCTTGACCACCTGCTCAGTAACATGATCACTCAACCAGTTGCCGATCTCGCTGAGAGATTGGGCAAGCTGCTGCCCGCCCCCTTGGAAAAGGTAACGCCCCTGTCATGGTGCTCAGTTTGTCTGGATCATGTTGACTAAGATCCGCCCAAAGTCCTTCTTCCTCAACACTGGTTCAGAAACCACAGAAGCCGCCATCAAGATGGCAAAGCTCCACACCGGCAAATTTGAAATCGTCGCTATGTCGGCAAGTTATCACGGCCTCACATCAGGTTCCGGTTCCGCAACCTATTCCGCCGGCCGAAAGAACGGCGGTCCCGCAATGCCGGGCCAACTCGCATTCCCCGCACCTTACGCCTACCGGTCCATCTTCCGCACGGCAGACGGCGCCTACGACTGGGAGAAGGAGATGGACTTTGGTTGGTCTATGATTGATAGGCAGAGCGTTGGGTCTCTGGCTGCGTTCATTATGGAGCCTATCCTTTCCACCGGCGGCATCCTTGACCTGCCCAAGGGCTACCTCAAGCGCCTAGGCGAGGAGTGCAAGAAGCGTGGCATGTTACTTATTCTCGACGAGGCGCAGACAGGTGTAGGCCGTACTGGCCAAATGTTCGCGTTTGAACACGACAATACCGTCCCAGACATTCTTTGCTTATCCAAGACTCTGGGATGCGGCCTACCTCTGGCATCTGTCAGTACGACCGCCGCGGTCGCGCAAGGGTGCAAAGACGCCGGCTTCCTCTGGCTGACGACGCATCTCAACGACCCCCTTACAGCAGCAGTTGGCAATAAGGTCCTCGAGATTGTGGAGCGAGACAACATTTGCCAGCGTGCTACTGATCGCGGAGAACAGCTTCGGGCCGGTCTCTTGAAGCTTCAGGAGAAGTACTGGTGCATCGGCGATGTCCGCGGACGCGGCCTGCTTCAGGGTATCGAGATTATTTCTGATGCTAAGACGAAGGCACCTGGATCAGATCTTGGTCAGGCCGTGTCCGATAGGGCGATGTTCTTGGGACTGTCGTGTAACGTTGTTAATCTGCCGGGTATGGGCGGTGTTTTCCGGCTGGCACCTCCTGTGACTGTGGACGCGGATGAGATCGAGGAAGGTTTGAGGATATTGGATGAGGCTTTCGGCTATGTTTTGGACCAACGAGATAAGACGATCCCCGTAGTATGAGAAGTTACAAGTCGTTGAAAGGAACGGATTCTCTTATGTTGCATTGGCATCCGGCATTTCGTCTCGGGTCTTGACATCATGAAATGACCGCGATCCATCAGGCCTGGAAGAAAAACTGTACATTCGCCTTGATAAAACCTAATCCTGAGTCCTTCAAGTGAGTTGAACTTAGGACTCATCAGCCTTTGTGTACCTCGGCTAATTCAAGACCCAACCGGCTGGCTTACTGTAGGCGGCCTGGGTTGTCCCGGGTGCATGAGGTCTCCGGCTGCCGTGCCGGGACACATCTGACCTGGACCCGCAGGGCCTGGAGCCCTAACTCACGATTCATGAGTGCTACGACCTCCTCCACCGTCAACAACATCCGGCGGCGGACATAGCTCAGTTGGGAGAGCGTCAGACTGAAGTCAACTTCACTCACTTAATCTGAAGGTCGTGTGTTCAATCCACACTGGCCGCAAGGAATAACTTTTGCTCGGTGCTATGGTGTTCGGTCCGCTATGCATTGCTTTTTGAACTGACCAGCCTCAATGCAGTCCATAGGAGAAGGCCCATGTCAGCTGGCGGCTGAGCACGGCTCAATTTTGCCCTGAACTCAATTGACCTCAGAGAAAGCTAAAATTGTATCTGTACCTACCGCTAACGCCATCATTTGCCAGGCTTCCAATTCATGTCCCGTTCAAGTAATAACTCGGCGATGGAGAAATTATCTTTGCTCAAATGCCTGCAGAGTCGATGCTCTCAGCTTTCAGTAAAATTAGTAGTTGGAGTGACTAGAGCCAGTACCCATTCACGTGCCATTGTCATTGGGCACGCTGAAGTAGCGTCCCACTGAGTGAAAGTTGTTGCTTGGCCCGTGAACCGGCGAGATTCTGTGTTGCAGCTCCCATTATTAGAGACAAATCTCGAAATGAGCTTGCGGGACTGCTCTTTTTTCGGTCCGGTATTTGAGTCGCGATCGTGCCAGATCCACATTATGCTCACGTGTGATTGAAGTTCAAGGGCTTTCATAGTGCCTGCATAGATGATTTCGATTGACCCTTTGCTGCCAGAATTGATCCTAAGGTAGGAAAGCCCTGCCGAATTCCTAAGGCGGACAACTTCGTAGCCCTTACCTCAACTGACTCGAACTCGAACCTCAGATGGTAGTTTGATGAGTTCTCATCTGATCGTAGGACGATTTTGAGCGGATAGAAATTTAAAAGCGGAATGCGATACCTTGGGGACTGCTATTACACCAATAGATCACGTTACTCCATCATCTTGATTGCACCATTGGTACCAGATCCTTTCCCCTTCTTGATAGCTCCACTTGGAGCTCTCACACTACCGAGATTTCAACAGAGATCACTGGTGTTATTATGGTTTGAAGTGGACTCGTGATTTTTGTGTGGATTTGAGTCCGCAGCCTAAGGCGTTAGTCACCAAAGTTTCAATGGCTTAGCAGCTAGCTCGCGGTATTACAACCACGTTCGTAGACATCTGATGTCAAGCTTCCAACAGAAGTTGCGTGCTCGCGTAGTTTTCTTGGATGTTCGTACACGAAGTCAAATGCGGAAAAGTTCGCAGATCAGTAATCTCAATGATTAGGTGGTGGGGACAGAGCGAGGATGAACGGAAGCACGAAGATACGAACCCTTCGGACTCATATCCTAAGTTAAGATACCCAGCGTGAGGTTTGGCACTTTGATGCGCTCGCAACAAGATCCCAGTCATGAGGGAGTAGTCGGCAGTCCTTTGTAGTACAACCATTCTTACTTTACTACATGAACTCCAAAGTAGGTTGCTACGACTAGCGATACACGTTAAGCCGACGATATTGGCTTCTGTAACTGTGTACCATGTTTGATCATTCGGTGGCGCATATCTGCTAGCCCCTCTTGCCTTGCTCCAAGGCATCTATGCTTTTTATGAGCAATGCATGCGTGGACTGACCGCTTACTAAGTCTCAATATTGCAGAGGAGCTAGGAGACCTCTGGTGCTTCACGTGTGCAGCATTTCGGCGGTTCTCATAACAGGCCCGGAAGACGAATCCGCTAACTTACATGTAGCAAACCTAAATCTACTGGTTGCTGGTACTTTGAAGGTTAGTGCTTCTAGGTCTTTGGCTACCATGGAACCTTGTACGCTTGTAGGTGATGTCTCAACCGTCGTTTCTTTACCGCTGGATCGATCCACTTCGAAGTATGCTCTCATGACAAGCTTTCTGTCACCCTTGAGCTAGCTTCTATCGAATGCTTTTTTGATTGTTCTCATCGTGAAGCTTTTCGACATGGGATGCGGTCGTGGTGTCAACTGAACTTTGAGGGGGAACGAACCAGATGGAGACATTGCGCCTCTGCCAACGGAGAGTTCGGATGAGCTGAGCGGTTCTTGATGGGGCTCTTCAGCTGATTTCACGGAATATTCAGCGTCCAAGTCACTAACGGGATGCCCGGAATAGTGTCAACTCAATGAGATGAAGACAGCTTCACGACTGAAGGTAATGGATGTCTCCGGCCTCAGTGCAAAGCTCGACAACAACTGAACTCGCTTCGCTTTAGAACTATAAAAAGATGGCGAACTTCCCATGAGCGACTTTAGCTATCAAGTTCATCACACATCCATTCCAGCTCCCTCTTTCAACACCAAAAAAACCATCGACAATCCTTTAGTCTTAATAATGGCACCCATTATGAAGTTTCTCTACGCTGGTCTGCTCGCAGCTAGCACCCTTACCTCCGCTGCATTCGCCAGCCCTATTGACAACACTGGTGTCGCCATCGAGGCCAGAGGTGAGATACTCTTTCAAGTCGTCCTTCGCAAATAGTGTCTTTAATCCCAGGAGAGATATGTCAAGGAGTCAAAGCTAATCTCGAGGCCCTTTTCCAGATGTCAACTTCCTGGCCGAGGGTGTCGAAGCCCCAGTCAGCGTTGAGGTCGCCAACAGCGTCGCCGTCCGTAGCGTCGATGAGATTGACGCATCGCTCGAGAAGCGCGTCTTCACCTCTCCCCACGTTCGCAAGGCCTTCAAAGTTGTTGCCGGCAACATGATCTCTGCCGCCTCCTGGGCCTTCAACTTCTGGGTTGAGGAAGACTACACGGGCAAGTCCACGGTCTGGTACAGCGGAGTCACCGGCGGAGGTGTTTCGACCCCCAAGATTGGCGTTGAGGGCGCTACTTTCATCTCCAAGACTGGCACCGAGCTCGACCTGAAGGTTCCGTTCATCGTGAAGGGCTTTTACGCTGGAAAGGAGCTCATCGTCCACTTTGTCGTGCGCATTCTCAGCGATGCTGGAGAGACGTCTGTCCAGTACTTCTATGACCGTCCCACGGCTACCATCGCCGGTCAGAACGCCCCAGTCACCAGCTGGGACTTTGTCAACACCAAGTAAAGGCTGTCTTGTGCAGTTACAGAGACCTGTCATGGGGGATGGACCTACGACAGGAACAAGTCGGAGCAAGCATGAACGCATGTAGATAGCATATACCTTGTATTCAGTAGCTGTTCACGGCGGCGAGCTTTCAGCATGTAAATCTTGCAAAACATGGTACTTTCTGAAGTAATTCAATATTTCTACTTGGTCGAGTATGTTACACAAGATGAATAATTTGCACAACGTCAAGACCTTAAATCAATAAGTACCTTCGATGTTGTTTAAGTATCTGCACATTGGAATCCCGTGTCGCTGCACAGGCAAATGTAAAAATTCACACCTGCCCATCATTAGATGCAACCTCACACCGGAAAAAGTACCTTGCAGAGCAATCGCCACTGGCTAGCCTCACAGCCACGTCATATGGGCTCGCTTACTGGCGAATGGTTCCCATCTGACTACAGCTAAGTAAATACATTTCATAAAATGATTGCCATCATTGGTCAATGAGTCTACAGCCTGCTCAGGAGATCAGATCTTCCTAGGTGAAAGGATTTTAGACACATCATGCTTACTACTTAAACTGCTATCCTTCGTGCTACAAATAAAGACGAGCATCTCCTCCTTCCCGACCTGTGGTTGTCATCGTTGTGGTACGTCAAGGACGCCGGTTCAAGCACCCAACTCTCCTTCTTAAACACAAGCTTTACTCATGAGACTCATAGACACCACCTCGTTCGAGCTTCAGTCTGGGGAACAGTCTGTATACCGCGAAGAAGGCTATGCCATTTTATCACACCGCTGGCAACCTTCGGAAATCAAGTTCAATGAGTTCCTCGATCATACTGAAGAACTCAAGAATGGCGCGGGACCCCTTCCGTTATGTTTAGATAAGATTCGCGGTGCTTGTGCCACCGCGCGCAACAAGGGTTACAATTGGATGTGGATCGATTCGTGCTGTATCGACAAGTCGAGCACCACTGAGGAAACCGAGTCAATCAACTCCATGTTCAAATGGTACCGCGATGCAAAGCTGTGTATTGTTTACCTTTCTGATGTTGAGGTAAACACCACTCTGGCTGAGGCCGAACTGAAAGCGAACCCTCTGATATTTAATCGTATCGGCCGCGAAGACCCTTCTGAGTGGTTCTATCGAGGATGGACCTTGCAGGAAATGCTGGCACCACGAGATCTGGAGTTTTAAGTCAACATACCCACTTCCTGGCACCCCCCTGTTTCTGGCACCACAAAAACGATGGGATCACAACCCAACCTCCTCATTACTATTAACTATTGATCCTCAACCACACCCACTACAATACAGCTGCCAGCCTCACTAGGGCATTCAGAGTCGCTGGATTCAGCCGTGATAACCTCCTTTTCACCCGCTTCGATTTGAGCCCGATGGATATCCCTGATGTTCGCGAACTTCGTATTGGGATCG